TTATCTGAACTGGGCAGGGCTCGGTACACTCACAGCAGAAGGGGAGGACCTTGTCTGCTTTCAATCAATAACCTCTGGAATTCAGAAATACAAGTAGGTCCTGTCTGTGGCAGGCTGTACCACACTCGAGAAGGCGGGCTCCCAGGCGCACTAGACGAAATCCTCTATCTGCTTCATTACTGCTTTCCCACAGGTCTGCCCCAGTTGGGAGTTGACCACCACAATGGCTGACCACACGTCTCCAGATTACTTCAGCTGCTCTCTGTGTCTCAACCTGCTGCGGGACCCTGTGGCTATCCCCTGTGGGCACAGTTTTTGTATGGACTGCATCAGCGGCTACTGGAATGAAGCAGACTACACAGGGATTTACATCTGTCCACAGTGTAAGATCACATTCACTCAGAGGCCTGTTCTGCGGCCCAACGCCACTCTGACCATGGTGGCTGAGAAGATCAAGAAGAGTGGACTCAACCTAAATGTCAACTCTACACCGGCGAACGGTGTAGCAGGTCCAACTGATGTCCCATGTGATTTTTGCTCTGGAAAGAAACTAAAGGCAGTGAAGTCCTGTTTGAACTGTCTGGCTTCTTACTGTGAGAAGCACCTGAAACCTCACTATGAGTCTGCCACTTTCAAGAGGCACAAGCTGGTGGACGAGCTGGGGAATCTGGACCGGAAGATCTGCCCTCAGCACCAGAAGTCCCTGGAGCTGTTCTGCCGGACGGACCAAATGTGCATCTGTGCCCTGTGCACTGTCAGCGAGCACCGAGGCCATGACATAGTATCAGCTGAGGCTGAGAGGGGAGAGAAACAGGTAACTATTCTTTTACTTATAGTTTTAATGGTTGTATTGGTCTATAATAGAGGGATTTTGTGTGACTGGGTTCTTACCTTTGGCTGTTTGTGTGTCTGGCTCTTTAGGTAAACATACAATTGTTAAACAGCCTTAATTACCAGAGTGAAAGCAAGTTGTTTTTCAAAACTACTGCCCCTGTAACACTAATAGTGATTGTACTTTGCCCCTTTTCACCCATGCTATCTACTCCCCCTGGCAGGCTTTCACCGCCAAAATAAATCCAGCTTTCTGATTAGCTGTTTCAAAGCTGGGGGAGTGACTTACACTTATCAAAGCTGCTTTTCAGAGAATGTGTTTTTCCAGCTGTGGGAGAGATATACTGAAACTTCCTCTCCTTCGGTGTTCTGTGTTGGTTCCCACCTGTGGGAGTGGGCCTGTGACTCAAGTGATCCTGCGTCAGGGAGTCAAGACCTTCAAAAGCACATGATCATGTAGCAGTCACATAACTTACATTACAGGCATACATACTCAAGTGATGGAACAATGACTGTAAAGCCAAATGAGATAAGACAGTTTCAGCTACGCAACATTGTCAGGTTTACAGTGGATGAGTAACCAGGTGGGAGGGTGCATTTATGGCATCCAGATATATGGGCTAAGGGGTTTTTAAGGTGCACTGGACTAATAATTCACCAGTTTGTCAGTTTGTTTCCCCTGCTACACTTTGCGTCTGGTTTCTCTCATCCGGAGATTTACAACCTGCCTCTCCAACACATCGCATTTGCTCTCTCTCCCCCGCGGACCCTCCCCCCTCTCATGTTCATCATCCCCCCTCCCTAGATTCCCAACATTCCTCAAGCTTATCTTGAAGAATGGGTTGGTGGGCTTGAGTAAAAAGCTGAATTAGAAAAGCCCTCTATTGGGGTTGTCACCGCAGTGTGCACCTTGAAACATCTTTTTAAAAGTCAGACAGCAGAAGATTCACATTCCTGAAATGACCGAAATGCCATTGGAGATTTTTCGGCCCCCCCCTTCTCTGAGCGTATTAAGGAGTGGGGTTTATTAAACATGGCAAAGGGCCCCTCTGGATATTCTTTGATGGGAAAGAATGTTAAGTCTTATACAAGTTTCATACAGTGAAGCAAAAACAAGAGCCACACCTGATAAATGTTTTAAGATTTCGTAGGGAAACAACCCAATGTGAATACATGAAAGCTCCCATTGTTTGCTTTGATAGCTTTTGATGAATGTTCAAAGCAGGTGCAAGTAATGTTGTTTTTTTTACAGAAACTTTTGGGCATCTCCCAAGCTGAGATTAAGCAAAAATGCCAGGAGCGAGTGAAGGAACTGGAAGAACTGAAGACTGCTGTAGATTCTCTAAAAGTAAGGCAGAGTACCTTATCATAGACACATTTCTTAGAAACATAAATGTTTTGTGACGTCAGATGCTTATCGTGTGTGAGACTAACATCCTGGATTTCCTGTACAGAACTCGGCGCAGAGGGCCATGGTGGAAAGCCAGAAAATGTTCGAGGACATGATTCGCTCGATTGAGAGGATGAGGTCAGAGGTCACCAAACTGATCGGTATCAACGAAAAGGCAGCGTTTAACCAGGCCGAGGCTTTGATAGAGAGACTGGAGCAGGAGATCGATGAGCTCAAGAAGAAGGAAACTGGACTTAAGCAGCTTTACAGCACAGAGGACCACATACACTTTCTACAGGTATCACGTGACCACTAGGATTAAAGGTGCCATGTCATTTTTATGAGGGAGTCTGCCACTGGCTTGTCTCCTTAGAGATGTTAGTGCTTTTGTCTAGAATGTTCCAAAGTATGGCATTAGGAGACAAAAAGGTGATGCCACCACGTTAAGTAAGTTACAGGCAAGGTCTGTGGAGAGTCAAGACAATTCACAGCAAACATCCATGTTTTTCAAGATCTATTTTAGCAATACAAACATCTTAAATTGATTAAATGCAGAGATGTTTAATGCCATATATTAGGGCATGCCAGTGGCGCAGTCCCCATTAGTAAAGTTATACAGTGCACCTTTAAGAATCCACAGAAGAAATGCATTTCTGATGTTGCAATATTCACCACTGTCTTATTTTTCAATAGAATTTCAACTACCTTTGCACCCCGACTGATGATGGCTTCATACCAAGAGTGTCAGTAAACCCAGACTTCTCCTTTGGCACAGTCAGAAAGGCTGTGGCTGAGATCAAGGAGCGTCTGGAGGAGTTTGGCAGAGAAGAGCTACTGAAGATCTCTAAGTCAGGTCTGACCAAAACAGCTTACAATAGCGTCTAAAAATGTATTGTATTCTAACAAAAGAAGCTAATTGTTGCTAATTATACGTCTTACAGTGAATGAAGTCCCTGTCTACACCACAGAAAGCAGAACACTGGACAGAAGGAGCAGAGGTGAGTTATCAGGTGTTTTTCATAAATATTTGGCTGGCTAATGGGGAAATTGTTTGAAATTGTTTGAAGGGAGTAGTGTGACATCATGATAATAAATAATAGAAGAACAGAGGGAGTATGGTCATGATAACACAGTGTTTTTTATTCCCAGCCAAAGAAATCATAACAGTGGACAGCCTACCCATAGCTCCAGAGCCCAAAAGCAGAGGAGACTTTATAAAATGTAAGTAGCTTAATTTCATAAGAACAAGTATGCATTTTAGCCTGTTTAATTGATCTTATTTGTTCTTTTTAGATTTTTGCCAACTGAAACTGGATCCAAACACTGCATACAAAGAGCTACACATCTCTGACAGCAGTAGAAAAGTAATTCGCACTAGAGACCACCAGGCTTACGCAGACACCCCAGAGAGATTTGACAGCTTTGCTCAAGTGCTATGCAGAGAGGCCCTATCCGGAGGCCGCTTCTACTGGGAGATAGAGTGGAGCGGGGAGTTCTCCATCGGCGTGGCCTACAAATCCATCAGCCGTAAAGGGAAAGGCTCACTGTGTCTCCTGGGATACAATGACAAGTCCTGGAGTCTGCTCTGCTCTGACTCGGGTTACTCTGCCTGGCACAACAGAGTGGACAAGGCAGTCAGTGGCCCTCATTCTCCCAGGATAGGTGTGTATCTGGACCACACAGCCGGGGTACTGGCCTTCTACGCCATTGGCAGCAGCATGACCCTCCTGCACAGGTTTGAAGCCAACTTTGTGGAGCCAGTCTACCCAGGCTTTGGCGTTGGAACTTCTGTGAAGATTTGTAGTGTCAAATAAGAACTTATACATATTTAAATATTATATCAGTTATGCCAAATGTGTTTATACCAATATGACAACAGACAATGCTATAGAAAAGTATTTTACTGAAACTGAACCATCATTCATTTTTCAAATTTTATTTTATTATGTATATACCTGTATACCGTTTTAACTTTGTCACTGTATCTAAGTTTGTATTTTCAAATCACATTTTCAGAACCATATTTAAGACACATAATATAAAATTGTAATTATCCTTAAGCATTGGCTGACACCTGCCCTTTTGATCATAAAAAGGGTGTAGTATGACCAGTCACTGTTTATTCAAGTACTCTCAAGACTCATCTGTTCCCACTGCATTCCAATTTATATTTACAGTGTAGCAGTTCAGATGGTTTGAGTTTTTTTCCTACTTGAACTAACCATTATTTAATTTGTTTACCTATGAAGGCTTGCTTGTTTTGAAATGTTTTGTAACAAAAATTTTCAAAGTTCAAAAATAAAGAAGTGGAATAATGTAGTCTGTGTCTAAGCAGTTTTTACTAGATATGGTCCCAGGAGTGTAAAATTACAAATGAGCAGACTGCCCCCTGCTGGAGAGACATGAAAAGAATCTTGTTAAGAACAGTTCGTGCCTAAATTTTCCAGAAAACACATCCTTTCAGCACCACTCTCTGGACTCAAAGGAATCTTATCAAATACATTTGTAATAAAGAAACAAGTCCTTAGATTACAATTCTGAATCTGCAGCCCTGTCTAAACAGCTAAACAGGCTCTGTGATGTTCAATGTTAATGTTGTCAAAAAAAAAGCATAAGAAAACACAAAGTGGCCATAAAACGTTTAATTTAACATATATATTTATTGATTCCCAGGATTAACGGAATTTGAGCCTAAAACGCTCACAAGAGAAAAATAAACAGTCCAGACTTCAAACATCATAGCCAACAATCCCCCCTTTGCCGATGCACTCTCCAATGTAGAACCACATCAGCACCTCCGTAGCCACCAGTCCATTTCTGCAGGCGTCCTGTGGGCCACAAAAATGAGAGAGTCAGTGCGTGATTATGTAATGTGACAACATTTCTGCATATAATGTACATACCCTAACTGTGAGCTGACCCAGACGTCCTGATTGGAAACCCTTGATGAGGTTGGTTGCCCCTTCGATGGCTTTGGGGATCTCACCAGGAGATGGGGGGACAAGTTCCACACGGGCGTAATACCAAAAGGTGGCAAGTCGAGGTTTGGAGTAAGTGACAGCGGCTAAAAGAAAAAAAAAAAAGCGTTAGGTTATATACATTTACCACGTTCTTATTTGAGTTTGATAAGATGTGAATTTGTCAGACATATGTGCTTTATAATCTGTAGCCAATCTGCATTGCTATAAACAAAACAATCAACTGAATCAATCAAGGATAGTAGCCATTAGCTAACAGCAGCACTAGCTACATTAGCTAGCCGCACAACAAACACCTTTTACTTCTGTTATTTACTGTGCAATTTACATCTGGCTCAAAATATAAAGACATAAGTAACTTACCGCTGAGTAGAGTTGGTATTTTAGCGACCAGTTTTTGCGCTGCTTGTGCCATGGTGAAGATCCGTGTGCCGCTGTGTCGCTGGTGTTAGCCTGAATGTCACCTCCACCAGCAGAAGGACCCGGGGGCGACCGTGATACTGCCTGTACTAATAAAAGCAACTGGACTGAACGTGCTGTTTCTGTCTCACACGGGCAAAATGCAATGGTGATTTATCCAATGAAAACGTCTATTAAGATTGTTGGCTGTATTTATTATTTGCAAAACTATCCTAATATTTGTATGTTTAAATGCTGGAATAAAATAGATTTTCACTATGTCTAAAACCAACAGAGAGCAGTAGAATCCAAAGCTATTCATAACACACAGGACTATTATGATAATGTCCAGAACATCATGCACTAAAACGCAATAAATCAACGACATATTTTATTTCATTCAAATAAACATGATCAATCATTTGCAATAAAGCCTAGTATTTACAATATTCCATGTGTCTGGAGTATAGGCCTGCATATAGTCTAACATTATTTGGGCCCACATAACTAAAATGAAAACACTTACACATATTATATATTATAATACCAGCTAATAATAATATATGTATTTATTAACCTTTATTTAACCAAGTGAAAAATATTATAAGTCTATTATGAATAACTGCCTATTATTATATACAGATAATAAACATTGTGTTTGAACAGTTTTAATTCAAGAGTGCAAACTTAATTAGGTGATTTATATTTCATAAAAATACAGCTACTTTTTCACTAAAACAACATATCAGCAAAGCATATTCTCAATTGCACCCTTGGTAACCTTTGTAAACTTTCATTCACAAATATGTTATCTCATCTGTATTGCCTTCCTCCTGCCAAATGACAAAATGTATCCTTATCAGTTTATGAACATTAGAAAACACATTATTAATTAACTTTAATTTTAATCTTTATATTACCTGACTGGAACAAGGCTCAGGTGCTGGCTGTTGGTGGTCAAGTTTCTGTACAACTCGCAATGATAAAGATGTGCCTTCTTTCATTAGAATAATTACATCGTCCAAACTTTTCTTTTCCACATTGTGTCCATTAACCTCCAACATCAAATCCCCTTCACGTAGTCCTGCTTTATGCCCTGGACCACCGTCTACAACCTAAACATATAAAACACAAATTCTATGATACACCATATACTAGGTCTGTCACGATAATCACTATATCGACTTATCCTTCTATATATTAAAGCTGGAGCAATATATTTCAGGGCTCAGTATTTATTGTGTGTTAGCGGGTGGAGACTGCTGTATCTGATCGCACTCTCTGTCCATCCTCCTCGCGAGTAAATCCTCATTAATCTCTTGTCTTTCTTCTTGTTTTTACAATGTTTAGGTGGTCTTAAACCAGACATTGTGTGTACATTTTCTTTGTAAAACTGCAGAGAATTGGAGTACTTTTGTTGTATTACAATAAGATTTGAACTGTAAAAAGTTGAATATGTCTATGGCTAATGATTGGTTAATTTGGTTATTTGTTACAGCTCAGGTCTTTTGAATGATACTGTCTATTTAAAAATGGTTACTGGGATTATCTTGCGTTACTGTTATTAATAAAGTAGTTTCAATATTATTGTTTATCATAGTATCTCTGTACCAATATATCATGCTTCAAAATTTGGACTCATGAAGGGACTACTATGTGATCAGAAAAAATAAATGATTCATTCAACAATAAAACATGTGTTAACCTGGCTGATGAAATTTCCAGACATATGTGGAACAGAGCTGACGTTAAAGCCAAAACCCAGAGATCCTTTTTGGACAGTGCAGAATCTGGGCTTGCAAGTGTTTTCTTCTTCTTCATTTATCAAAGTGGCTGGCACACTGCTATCTTGTTCTTTAACCTCTTCACAGAAAAGCAAAGGCGATAGACCCAGCTGTAGAAAAATGATTAGCTCATATCAGTTAATGACATTTTAATACATCAGAAATTACCACATAGGGCTATAGTCCTATATTAAGCAAAATTGACTCTTGACTCTGCATGGTGTTGTAACCTAATCAAAAACATCCCTGGAGTTGTGTTTAGTTTCAATTCAAATATGTATGAGTAACCCATTATTATTAGCCTGTATACATTAGTTTTAGAGAAAAACACTACCTAAATATGCAGGTTTTATGTTTTAAACATGTAAGTATGGAAAAGAAAACACAACTCTGGATATGTTTTTGATGAGGAAACAACATTATCACATAGATCAGAAAATAGCGCTAATATGAGCCCTTTAATAACAAAGACAGCAACATTATTAAATCAAAATCATTGATTTTTAAAATTACTAATACAGTTTACTTGTAAATATTCTCTGTCTAGAAGACTTCAGCCAGCAAAGTTAAAATTTATTTCGTTTAAAAAGAAAAAATCTTAGTGTACAATAGAAATAATTATTTGACAAGCCAACTAACCTAAAAAAAAAGCTAACTAAAACAATCATTAATTTCTATAACTAGAAAGATACAATGTGATCCAACTAGAAAGATATAATGTGATCCAACAGCCTACCATGGTGTAAAAGTCCAGTCCTTTGGGTGTAATCGTGGTAATAGTGACTTCTTGTCCACTCTGCCTGACTCTGTCTACGATCTCCTCATGTTTCAGAGACATCACTGATTCTTCATTCACTTCTAAGAGCAGTTCTCCATCTCGCACCCCTGCCTTCTCAGCTGGCCCACCGTGGTCCATCTCACGTAAAACATGAGCTAGAAAATCAGCTTGTTCACTACACAATCATAGTTAATCATAGACTAAATTATAGAGTTAAAGAATAAACACCTGCTATGATCTTACCAGTACGGCCCGATGGGGACTTTTCAAGGCGCAGTATAAAGCCATAGCCATTTTTATCTTGCACCAGGTGGAATTTCCTGGCTTTAAATGGAAGATTATGTGGTGTAGCCATAGCTGGGAGGATGGGTAACCGCTGCGAGTTGTAGTATTTCTCACTCTCAGCATCAACCACCAGAATAGTGACCTGACTGCCACTTTTTTTCAGCTGCAATAATAAAAATAAAGGTTATTGTTCAGCCAAGGTAATAGTGATGTATAATTCGTACCATCTTGGTTAAGGCAGAGTGTGTTAGATCTTCTACATTTCCCCCATTCATCCAGACCAGTCGATCTCCTTTGTACACACCAGCCTTTTCTGCTGCTCCTCCAGGTACCAGGTTCACAGTGAAATGGCCCTTCTGCCCTAAAAACAAAGGGAGATTAATTATACTGTAATTAAGTATTAATCATTAATCATGTGATTACAAATACCTTCGACAGCAGTAAAGCCAATTCCCAGACCAGATGTGGAGTTTTTTTTGATGTGACAGAGTCTTGGAGGTTTAACGCTTTCACATTTGGTAACCACAGCGACATTTCTGAGGTCATGAGCTTCAGACTTGGCCTGTTCATATTGATCTCCACTCAACACTAATACAGAAATTTGATTTCCACTTACATTTATCCTCCTTGAAACCTATTCAAAACCAAAATAGAGTTCAGCTTTTGTTCTGGTAAACTCTGACACATTTGTATAATGTATTTCTCACTTCCTGGTGCGAAATATCATCCACAAAGCAGCCGTTAACCTCCAGAAGTCTGTCTCCATCCATGAGCCCACTGCGCTCAGCGATCCCTCCGGACGCAATGCTTCTGATGATGTGGCCGGGTCGCCCCTTCTCTGCTCGGAGGTTGAAGCCATAAGACTCACCCTGCTCTCGTTTGAGAACACACAGGCGTGGGCGCGGAGGCCCTGAGTCTGACAAGAGATGTAGAATACATAAATATGAGATTGAAAGAAGGGGTACTATAGAATAGCTCAGAGCAGGTACCTGTGTCATCTGTGATGACCATGATCGGATTATCTATTCCCTCCTTTGGGTTAAATGTGAATTTTCTATTTCAAAAGTTAATAAAATAATCGTGTCAACAAAGAAAGGACGGCAGTGCACTGTATAATAAAAAAACGAAATAATGTATCATAATAAGCAGGACATATGTAATCAGTGCTAAAGATCGAAAGTCATACCAAAGCAGCATTAATGACATTGTTTCACAGCAAATTACTACAACTGAAATTGGTGGTCAGTGAAATGCTTACCCTGTGAAGTCTTTGTCCAAAATACCTGTATACAGAAAAGACCAAAGTCATACACACTCCCACATAATCTGTGAACGAAGCAGTTAAAATTGCTATATAAACTGTTTTTATGCTATGGTTAAACTTGCATAGATGAGCATTGCCCTGAGTCTGAAATACAACTAAACTGTGACTACAGCAACAGGCACTTTTGAAACCTTGACATGCAGTATCAGTTTATGTCACTCATAAAACTGGGTTTGACCACGACTGATTAGTTTTAGTCTTTGTCCTGTCTACTTCTAGCGAATATGTGATAACAAAGATTTGAATCTCCAGTAAGAAAACAACTAAATATTTAAACTCAAAAACAAATTGAGGACCAAGTTGCTCAGTATTTATTATGAGAAATTATCTATGCTATAACAAACTAAAATCATCAAGCCGATAATGAATTGGCTCATGGAGAAAAAGATGCAGTGTATGGCTAAACCTTGGTAAACTGGATCATGAAATAGACAAGAACAGATTTTCCCCCAACTTCTCTCTTACCCTCTATCAGACCCAAAGCATGTTTACTGAATATTGTTGTCAATGAACATTTTGGTCCTTGATCTCCAGTATTTAGTGTCATTACAAAATAATACACAATCCTGCTATCTGTAATGTGAGAACAGAATAAGAATTATTGATGTTTGAAGGTCTTTTTTAACTAAACAGCAGAGTCCTTGCTTCACTGTCACAATATATCCACATGTTGTTTGCTCTGGGTGCACTAAGCAAGGACAACTGTACTACACTTGGGTAACATTCCCTTCTATCCAGGCAGTTCTTCTCTCAGTCAGTCTGTTCTGAGCAGTTTAGACCAGCTAATGGGCCCCTGTTTGACTTTCACCTCAGTAATGCTTGTAGAACCCATAGAGACAGCACATTCTACTATAGTTTTACACTTTAATTAAAGGTGCACTATGTAACTTTTCAGGTGTGAAGGGGTGGGGAGGTCTGCCATCTGCTTGTCTCCATGGTGATGTTACTTTATCTGAAAGGTAGCATTGCATTAAACTTACCTATGGATACAAGCAGTGACTTCACCGAGCCAATTAAGTTACAGGTCCGCTCTATGAAGATGCAACCCCGCTCACAGTAAGACTGCATGCTTTTTATGTATTTTTCAGTAATAAATCGGTGATTTAATACGTGCAAGATATATTTATGTTCAATGACATTCTTAGCAATGACATTAATTACACTTGATTTGTCTTAATTAATAACCTTTAACATTAAAAAAGATATAGAATGGGGTGGAAAATAACTAATTACAAATACTCACATTACTGTAACTGAGTAGATTTTGGGGGTAATTGTTCTTTTTTTTAAATTACATTTTTAAACTTATACTTGCAATTGAGTAAAATTTGAATAATATGAGTACTGTACAGTCCAAACCGGTCCGATCCATCTCTGTCTCTGCTTCTATTTAAACTTACAAACACACACAACAGCAACACCTGCTCTGATTAGCCAGAACTCATAATGTATAAGATGCGGATTGTTCTTTAAATGACTCAGTTCAGCTTTAAACTGTTTAATTTGTATAAAATACTAAAATCTGTTCAAAAGCAACCAATACTTTGAGTAGTACTTTGTATGTGTACGACGTACATCCTACTTTTACTTAAGTAAAATTTTGGCAGCAGTACTACTTGACTTTACTATTGGCTGTGATACCTGCATTAGATTACTGGATTGTTAATTTATGTTTGAGTATCTGTCCCTATTCAAATAAACAATAAATAAATAAATAAATGAAAATTAAAAAAAAATAAATCTGACTGTACTTTATAGTTGTACATTTACTAGAATTGCAGATCTCTTTACACCACTAGATATAGCTTTTTTTCTCTATTGCTTAAACTAGCAACTAGGAAATTCATACCTTCAGTTAGTGTCCTCTTGTCCATATCTCCCATCATGTCTCAGGGCTCAGACAGTGGAGCAGATGAAAACACTTCAGTGCCCAGGCAAGCACAGACTCCTCCCAGAGCTCCAGGATTAATGTTTAATCTGTGGGACACAATCAGCATAACTGTGTCACCTATTTGCAAAAAATTATATTCTTAGTTTGACTTCGCTAGCATTTTAGCAGCTTTATTCTGGAAGTGGGAAGTGCACAACGAGGATTTTGGATAGTTATAACCTATGACTAACAAACTATGTCAAAAATTGAAGAAGTAGAAATGACAAAATTGTTTCTAAAGTAGGTAAAACGTTGACTTTGAACCTTGGGTTTTTTTTAACAGCCGACTATGGCTGCAAACAAGCAAAATAAACCAAGTACTGTATGTGTTGAGTCCACTAGATGGCAACATTTAGACTGCTTGTTAGTTGATTGGACCATTCTTATGAATGAAACTCCCAACCAGATTAATGATTATTCATACATTGTTATTTCACTCTTGTTGAAATTCTTAAGTCTTTTTAATTGTACTTTCAAAACCGAATCTCTTATGCCACATTTGACATGCAAAAACACTCACCTTTGTGTCAGATGAACAAACTGACCTCATTTCATACGATGAAGCATAACAGCAGCAAAGAGGGCTTAATACAACAAGCTTTTCTGTCTTGTTTTGAGGTTCAGGTCCAAACATCAGTTTGCTCCAAGTCATCACAGATCACTGGCTCATCAGGAGACAGAGTTCCCATCTGCACCCAAGTCCTTGCCAAAGCATGAGTGAGTGTTGAAACTCAAATCTGTAATGAGTACCATTGTAGTTAAAGTGACAGTTAAAATTTGTTTCCCTCATTTCAGCCCTGCTCAGACCATAACTCTGTAAAACCAGGGCTGCTTTTCAGTGGTCAGTCTGAGCTCTGACTGGTTTGTGTGATATCTTTGCAAAAAGCCCGAAGGCCGCCCTTTTATCATGGCACACAGCCTCTCTGAGCAAAGTGTCTGTTTTATAGGCCTTTGAATCCATGGCAACCACAGCGTGAATAGGTCATTCAGGATGGCCCCCACTACTCTCACCGCCTCGGAAACAAGATCATCAAACAAACTGGGGCTTGAGTAGACTTTGCATGAGAAAGATTAGACAGATCAGTGATATTAGGCTGCAAAACCAATGATGATTCTTTCTGCATTCATTTTGAGACGTAGGCCGAAACTAGATTTAGAGAACACCACATGTGCTGGTTCATTTACCTCATCTGTTTTTGTAAATCTGAATAAAATTTAAGGGGTGACTCCCCAGCAATTGACACTGATTTGAGCAAAACTACCCTAACATATTGCCCTACCCTATGGAAATAGTGGGTAGCTTTACATTGCAACTAAAACTCAGTATCACAGAACTAAATGTTGTTTTTTTGTATGATTAATCTAGCATTATATGCAGGCTAAATGACAAGGCCGTTGCAAAAAGTAGTAGTTCAGTATAAATGACAAAGCTCCTTTCAGTAAAAGTTGTTGCAAAATAATTGATTCATTTCCCTTTGGAGTGTCAGCATATTTTGTTGCTTCCTAGCTTCCCCAAACTTGATCTTCTTTCAGCTTTGTTGCAACCCAATGCATCCTGGCCTTGGGTAATTTGCATGACTAACTTTTCTGTGATTTATTCATTAGTTGGCAAACCTACTTTAAAAACACAGGCAATTTCCTTAACGAAAAAGGTAAATATCCACTTACTTGGAATAGCAGACCTCAAAAGGAGCTATAGGCAACTATGTGCAGACCTAAAGAATTATTTTCAAGCATTTTCATCAGTGCCATTCCTAAGATTCTCTGGTTTATTAAAAGAGCTGATGATTGGTTGAAAGGAACAAGTGCACGCCGCGTAGGAATGACGTTGTTCTACGAAGACGAATGATGTGGCAAAAATCAAAGGGCGAATCAAGAGAAATAGTCCCACTTCTACTCATTTGTACGGTTACTAAACTATTATTGTTTACACTTTTTGCATAATAGTTACATAAAAGAATAAATCACAACCTGCTAAATTAACTGATTTTGTTTTACTCTGGGTATAATCTAGTTTTAAAAGTGTGTATTCCTCCGCCTGGTTGAGTTCACTTCCATTTCCGGGATGTTTTCTGCCTTGTCCAGCCTCCACCGCCATTGCAGGTCCAGGGAGGTGTAGTGGCAGCCAGTCTAGCCAAGGGTAGCCGTAAGGAAACAGTCTAGGGACAAATAGAAAGTAACAGCAGATTGACACCTCGTACTAAATCAATTTTAGAGTTTAGACTGTAGATTAGCGACTCCTTCACGGCCCGGCTAGTATCTGAAGGAAAGAAGTAGTGGGTTAGCATTTGAAGAAACCGGAGGAGAGTGAGAGGCACCGCCATGGCTCAAATCCTTCCTATTCGCTTCCAGGAGCACCTGCAGGTTTGTGCATGAATGAATAGTTGGGTGTTTTAGGCAAGTCCGTAAGTCCTCACAGGAGTTTGGGGTGTCCCTGCGGAGGATTTTTGGTTTAAGTCCATTTTAATAGTAGTGAATGCAGCTAACAAGCTAAGTTAGCTTTTACTGGCTATGCTAACTGGCTTGGTTGGGTGGATGACGTTTATCTTAGTTAGCATCTAGCCTGACAGCTAACTTTTTTAATTCACCACTTTTATTGCTCATAATGCCTTTCTTTTATCTCCATTGTAATTTAAATGCACTTGGCATTCATACTGATAAGGGATCAGTCTTTGAATTTGTATTGGAAGTTTTAATTCACACACATCTTCCCCGGTTTCACATGAACACGTTATAAGTTTAAGTTGTGTATTGAGTTTTGCCATTCCAGATATGTTATTGTGCAATATTCCGGTCTATAAACTTCGTCAAACACATAACATGTGCCGCTTTAGACACTTCCTTTCGAGTAATACTGTTGCTTACTGGGTCACTAATGTTTGGGTTTTGTCAGCTGTCTCGACTGTGGGATGATGTGGCTTTAGAGGCAGTAGAATTACAGTATTTGTGCAGATTTGACATGCTTTAATAGTTCATTGTGCATTCGAAAGATATCACGTTGGCGAGACAGTTGTAGAAGTCATGTGGTTTGTGGGTTGGTCCTCAAACCATCTTCCTTTGTTTAGAAAAGACCTTGAAAGTGGTTGTAGGATCAATATTGGTTTTAAATGGCACAAATTAACAGTATTATCATCAATATTGATATTTCCACAGTCTTTCCTGTTTTTCACACTTACATAGGAATGTAAGTGTGAAAAATAGGAAAGTGAATACGTACCCAACGTCCTCTCTGTGACCATAGATACTGACTTACAAGATGCAATGAATAAATGATAAGACTTTGGTCTCTCAGTCCAACTTATTACACGTTATTTGATCTACCATGCCACTCAAGTTAAGAAACAGTTCCACTTGATGCACTCTGTGGAGGACACAGAAGTCTCTTTTTTACCTGTTTAATTGTGCATATAGTGACAGTCTACAGATTTTGTGGGGGATATGCTTTATCTGTCATATTACTTAGGAATAAAAAAAACCTTTCTTTTTCTCAGAGTTGTGTCATTTGCACAATACAAGGTCAAACCGCAATAACTAATGCATGATCTGCATATGTTTCATAAACGTTTAAAATGTACACGCCTTATTGACCATATTGTGGCCTATTATTATTGTGTTCTGTGCTTAAGGCGTCTTTCTTCACAATATTTATGTTCTGAATGAACTTGAATGATGATGATCTTATGCCTTGTCTTGTGACAGTTTTGACAAATGAGACAGTTTTTGTTTTTTATAGCTGAACAGACTCATAAATTCTTTTTTACTTTGGTTGGCCAAGGTGCTCCTGATCATTGTGCCGAGCTTGCATTTTATACATCATCCATTCAAACAAGTGTAGTAAGGACTTTTTCACATGTCAAACGCCTGTATTCTGTCTGTTGTGAGAAACTTGGAGAATGTGAGAAAATTCAGTGTCAATGTCATTAGCCATGTTGATATGATTTTACCTCGTGTTTGACAAAGACCTAACCATGGAATTAAGTGGGCTTTTCAAAGGATTCTCTGTTGTTTTGGGGACTACTTGCAACATTTCCTTTTTCATAATTTCAGTTTGTGGCAGAACTTGTTGGTATTATGTCTGATGAACATATATGTTACTGAAGCTTTGAAGGCCACAGTGCGCTTACATAATGTTTGCACTCTCTGATCTGAACGTCCTTGCATATTTGATGAGTTGTTATAGTTGGAGCACATGACATATAGTATTACATCTTACTACGCACTCGGGAGCAGATGCAAGCATGTTTATTGGGTCATACTGCGTTAGATTTCCGCTCTGCACTTTGAACCGGGTAGGGGCAGGTCCAGCTGACACCTCGTGACTGACTGGTGGGGAATGAGGATACAGAAATGCTGAAGAGTGGGAATTCTGCGTTCCACACTTGAGATTAGGAGTCAAGCTGCATGATTTTGAAAAAAAAAAAATCAAATGGCAGTTATGATTATATTTGCGTATTATGTTTTAAAATCAGTTCAGTTTGCAGTACATATGTTTAAGCATGTCCAGGAGCAGTAATATCTGAGAGCAGCCTGAAGCATGAACAAGAATCCCATGCATTTCACAGTGGTTAAGATTTAAACTTCAGGGTAAACAATTTTTTCTCTGAATAGACTGGATATTTTGTTGGACATAGTGGACATGCACATTGCGCAATGTGAGATACAGGGGCTAGGAAAGTCTATTTGTAGAGTACAATTCATACACAAAGGTTCTTTACACATACAGAATAATAAATACATTAAAATCACAATACAAACACATAAAACATAAATAATCATAATAAAATATAATTGCAGTTTGTGATTTATTTAAATATTGCAGTATATTGTGCAGCCCAAAGGTCCTGTACTACGCAAAATTGTGAAGGCATGTTATAATGTTGTCACCTCCATAAAAAGTTGTATTTTGTTTTATTCACACATGTTTGAGTAGCTTTCATCCCCATAGATCAAAATGCTCCACCTTGTGATGTCATGAAGTGGTAGTTTCAAGTTTACAACTACCTTTTTCCTTTTGTTCACTAGAGAAGGGCAATTCCAGGGTTGAAATGATCCAAATGATTCTAGTGAAGGTGTATGGAGTTTAAAAACACAGTGGAGCACTTGTATTACCACATGACATCACCAGGTGGAGCAGAGTGTTTTCCATTTGAAAAAAAGAACTTAGCATAAATATTCAGGGTTTGTGTGTTAAACACGTGTGAATGAAACAAAACACAACTCTGGGGTTGTTTTTGATGAGGAACCTACATTATAACAGAAATATGGGCCCTTTAAGGAACAGAGGGAACCAAAGCCTGTGTCTTTCATCCCAACTCTTTATCAGTGTCCCTCTAGGTCACATGTCCTGCTGGAGTCACATGGTTTGAAGGAGGCAGTGCTTGGACCAGCCTGTTATTTCAGTCCCAGCATAAACACAATGGGTCCCTGGTTTCCTGTTGCACGCCTCAGCACATTACACTGCACATCCTTCCCTGCACTGCCTTGAACTGTCCACTTTACCGGGACACACCGAGCACTTTTTCTGCTGAGCCACAAGATGCTTTCCGACCAAGGAAGAGCACGGAGTTAAACCAACAGATGTTCAGGAATGGTGCTGTGCTTAAAGGTGTATGTAACTTTTTGACTGGGGGTCCGTAACCTGCTTGTTTCTATGGATATGTCATTGACAGCCTAGATCATGTTCCACAGCATGACATTAAACAGCTCTACTTTACATTTATTAAACTTCAGATGGTTTTATAACTCAAAAATATGTAGAAAAACAGGCATGACTGTGATCTGATTTGTATCTGGTTTGGTCTTCATGAGGAAAAAGTTGAATACCATACTGTGAAACATTCCAGACAAAGCAATAACATCTTCATGAAGAAAGGCATTTGACGGACCCTCCACCTGAAAAGTTACACAATGCACCTTTAAGCTAGGGATGGGTGATATATTCAATCAGTCAGTCTTTATTTAGGACCAATAATTCCAGAGAAATCCACATTTAAACTTGTAATTGCGACTAGCAGCAAAAACTCAGGCATTCCCGCTCTACTGCTACCAACAGACACACAAGTGATGTCTGAGGGTTAAATTAGGTCTTAAGTTTCACTCATTAATGGTGAGAAAATGGTTGTTATCGGCCATAATGGCAAAACAATTACGAATAGCATTACTGACTCATAAAATCCATATTGGACCATCCCTTGCTTAAATGGTCTATAGTATACAATCCAAGACACTGAAGCCAGTACCTTTGTCTGTGCTGGTCTCAATTCAAAGGCACCAGACCAGTACGGGCCAGAATAAATAAGTGATTTTCCACATTGTTTGTGGCTCCACTGGTTTGACCTGCTTTTACACAAATTCCTATTCTCTGATGTAATTTGAGTGTTGGACCCATACACAGTTGAGGCAACATCTGTCTGGGTGTTAAAATAGGAGTAGTCCTTTTATTTGGGTGTGCTACTTACTACGTTTTCTGGTTTGTACCAGGATTTGGGAGTTCACAGATGTCTTGGAAGAGGGAAACCTGGCGCTGAAACAGGGATGGGCAAAATTACAAAGTTTTTCCCTCCTTGACCGATCGCCATTTTTAATATTATTTTATCTTGATAAAAACAAATTGCCTTTTCACTATTCATTTCCTGAACAGAGTTGATACAAACTTTTAGTAACTCCCATTTAGCACAAAAAGTCAGATTGAACTCTGAACTCTGCTCCAAAGCACATGCGTTCTCTGACCGAGGATTGGCTGATTAAAATGACTCAAGCTGATCGTTGGTTGCTGGAAATGACTCATCTTGATCTCATTTAAAAATCAATTCATTTACCAGCCCTACTCTGAAAGAATAGAAGTTATAACAAATATTTGTACAGGGAGCAGTGTCTTTACAACCTTCTTCACTTTGTTGTATTGTTTGCTGTAGTAAATACTTCCTCTGTTACTGTGATGTCATATGTGAAAGCTTGATACAAAACCAGTTTCTGTGACTTCCTCTTGTGCATGCTACACTTGTTCTGTGGTAGAGGTTTAACCAGGGTTACCAGATTTTTAGAGAGAAACAAGTGAATCAGCTTTTGAAAAAAAGCAACACCAGCCCCCGCAAAAATAAGCAACACCAGCCCCCGCAAAAATAAAAAAACTTAATCAACGTATACTGTAATACTTGCGATTAATATATTTACAGTATTTTAAGTTTTTTTTATCTTAGCTATGGATCATGTGTCTGTGTCAAATAATTTTTAAAAACCCAAAAGAAGCAAGTAGTTAAACATGTGTCGCCACTGAATAAGCACTAATGACTGTTAATATTTAGTAGCATAATTTACATCATTAACAGATTTAAAATATTCATAATACATTTTATTTATATAATGCTTTTCTAAACACTCAAATATGCTGTACAAAGAATACAATTAAAGTAAAATATATATATATATAAAAAAAAAAAACATGATTTAAAAGTAGTTTAGACGTTGAAAGCAGTTCTAAATAGATGGGTTTTGAGCAATTTCTTGAAGGTGGAGAGTTCAGTACAGTCACAGATATTAACATCTTGTATTTCAGTCATAATTTGGCTCTATTAAGGTCAACCAAAGCTTAAAAAAGTGAAGGTCGCTCTCAGGAGGAGCAAGCCAAAAATACAAGCCGTCTCAAAATGTGTAGGCAACTTTCCCAAAACAGAAGTCCAAAGTCGCTATATAGAAGCAGACTTGGCAACTTTACATTTAACCCAGAGCCGCTGAGAACAAAGTATGTGAGAGTGAAAGAATGTGGGTGGGCCAAGGCTGCAGAGGGTGTGGCCATTAAATGATAAAAGGTGGACACATTTCGTTGAGCTGTGGTTTGTGCTGATTAGGACACTATAACAGAATCTGAGAAGGAGTAAATACAGACCAACTCAAACCCTGTTTACCTAACAACACAATGACTCACTTTAAATGGAAGTGACTTATTTGACTTCTAATAGACTGTACAAAATTATAATGACAACATTTGGCTCATGATTGAAATCATAATTAGTTAAAACAATGACTTTTTAGATGTTGAGAATTTAGAGACCATATGTTATTTGTAATGACACCTAAACATCACTGTAGGATAGAAAAATATCTTTGATCCATGTTTTGAGGGGTTGTTTTGTGTGGCATGTTTCCTCAAAAACATACTTGGAGTTGTTTCGTTTCAGTTCTTCTCTGAAACAAACACTTTGTTCAAACTTGTGTTGTCATGAGGCACTACAGGAGGCATTATTAAACTTCACACACCTTCACTAGAATCATTTGGATGATTTCAGCCTTGGAATTGCCAATATCTTTTGAACTAAATGTAAAGGGTAGCTGTTAACTTAAACTACCACTACGTGACATCACAAGGTGAGGCAGAGCATTGTGAGATGTAGATCTATGATTACTCACATGTGTGAATGAAACAAAACACAACTCCAGGTATGTTTTTGAGGAGATAACAGCATCATAACATGACTTAAAGCTCAGAAGAATCCATTTTGTGTAAATATAGGACCTTTAACAAGATCATTCATTGCATTTTCAATTATTGCATTTTCAATTACAACATTTCTGTAATTTAACAGAGCAATAATTGAAATCCTGATTATAATTCTGATTTACTGCATAGATTCTTTTGGCAAGTGATCATTTTAAGTAGTTAATACATCTGGATTGCAAAACCGGGGAAGTTGCAACATCACCACCAGAAGGTCCTGTGAAGATGTAGTAGTTTCATTTCCCTCAGATTACTTCATAACATGGATCTGCTGCTGCAACAAAAGGAAGCGCAGTTCTTCATTTTATATGGTAATGATTAGTATAGTGCCACCTGTTATGGCTGTAGAGGATTAAAAACTACATAGGCTTGTTTGAAGACATGCCAAGATATTGATTGTATTGTCCATAAGTAAAACTACTGAAAAAAGATCTTGCAAAAAACAAAACAAAAGCACTGAGATATTGAGTTTTGTAAATATTGACATCCTCTAGCTGATCAACTAAAGGCATACCCTATGCAGTTGTTATGCTTTTAGGTGACTGCAAGGGGCATAGCATGGCAAATTTCTCAAACTATGAAAGTGTTTTCAATTATTTAACACAAATACAAGACCACAGCTCACAGACGTTTATGCAGCTATGAAAAGTAATAGTAGTAAACCGCATGCATTCTCCTTTCTGCCGTGGTGCATATAATTCTTTATTATCATAAAAAAATGTTTTTCGATTAGGGTACTATTGACCAATTAATCGACTAAAGAGCTACAGCTCTTCTACTTGTGCGGCAGCCTGGATTCTGGTGCAACTGTGTCCACTTTAGTGAGGATGCTGCGTCAGGAGTTCGGTGCTGCAGGCAGGATGTTCTTTTTCAAACTTTTTGCTGTCTACTGTGCTTTAAGATGGTTGGGTCAAACATAAAACTAAAAAGGTGGTGTTTTTAGAAAAGCCCTGTGTATATGTTCTCAATTTTACTGAGTAGACTTACAAGGTACACTACCTGTCAAAAGTGTGGACACGTTTTTTTTTTTTCTTACTACTTTCTACATTTACATAGAAGATATCAAATATATGGAGCAGGAAGCAAGGGTGGCTAATTTGAGGATTGGCTTTTATTTTCTTTGCTACATAATTATATAAATCTTGCTTCCGATATTTGATGTCTTCTGTATGTACATAAAATGAAGAGAGTAGTAAACATAGAAAAAGCATTGAATGAGAGGTTGAGTCCAAACATTTGACTGGTAGTGTTTACCAAAAACACCTAATTCACACACTTCTTGAGTCACCAAACCTCTTCTTTCGGCATATGGCATGTTTAGGAGTCAAAACAACTCTGTGATAATACTTTATTGAGGGATTTGTTTGTATAAAAGTATGTGAACTAAAGGCTGACATTATTTCTCAAAATGTGTTGTTAAAATGCAGTAGTTTCCTCTCTGGACTGTACTGTTATACTAGGCGTTAGCTCTCCTCCCTGTCCCCTCTGACTGCTCTGGCTGCTCTGCTCTGTCACTCATATGATCACGTCACCTGGTCACGCTGTGTAAAAGCTGAGGTCAAAGTCCCACGCTTATGTTTCACCGGCTGTATGTGTTTTTATAGTTATGAATGAACTGTCCTGATATCAAAAGCAGTTTTAATGGGGGAATGAATCAAAATTGACAAGTAAGGTTAAAAATCTTCAGTAGCCCCAATATTTTGTGAAGTGTAAAAGTGATAATTATCTTGTTTTAATATAATAAAAAATACCTGAAAATACGCATAATAATTTCTCTTTGAAATCACTTCAGTTAAAATAGTAGTTAATTTACATACTGTACAGTTTTTGATGAACTGTAATAACACTTTTTGTCTTTATTTTTTTTCTAAAGCTCCAAAACCTGGGCATCAATCCAGCTAACATTGGCTTCAGCACCCTCACCATGGAGTCGGACAAGTTCATCTGTGTTCGGGAGAAGGTGGGTGAGCAGACCCAGGTGGTTATCATTGACTTGGCCGACCCCAATACCCCCATCCGCAGACCCATCTCTGCCGACAGCGCCATCATGAACCCTGCCAGCAAGGTCATTGCACTCAAAGGTATGTACTGACTTTGACCGGGATTTTCTGTTAGATTGATTAATTTTAAAGGTGCACTGTGCAACTTGTATGATGAAGGGTACGCTATCTGCTTCTTTTCATGGAGATGTTCCATAGTATGTAATTAATATTATTATTACTATATATTATTATTATTAATATATGTCCATCTAGCATTTATTCAGTATGTGTATTTCTATTGCTCAAAAATACATAAATTCCTCCTGCAAATAGAGGCAACTCTCCACAGATCTGAGTAGTAATGTAGCTGGAGTGCTATAACCTGCTTGTCTCCCTTGTGATAAGTTTAATCTATACTGTGGAACATTCTAGACAAAGCAATAACGTTTCCATGGAGATAAGCAGGTAGTGGATCCACCACCAGAAAAGTAGAGTAGTGCACCTTTTAACATGCAAGGGTCATTGTTTACATTTTTTCAAGTAACATTTAGCTAAAAAAAAAAAAACTACAAAATAAACGTAATATTTTGAAAGCTTGTACGCATCTGTTTGTCATTCACATTGAGCTAGATTCCTGCTGTGCTAGTTTTATTGACCTGCATGTCCTATAGACATTTTTATAGAGATATTAAAGTATATTGTGGCGCATTCATGAATGCTTTGACTTTCTGTTGTTTTTTGTTTTTGTCTGTATTTTTTTTCTTTACTGCTTTCTTATGTGTTTGCAGACGGTGAGTTCAAATTTAACTACAGTTATTGTGGAAGTAAAACCCTGTTTAGGAAAAACATCTGGCAAGAGGAATAGCTTTCCTCATCAAATTAAACAACCGACTTAATTGCATGAATGTTAAAATAGGAGCCAATTCAATATTGTATGTAATGTAATTATAATATGAAAAATCATAATGACAGATTGTTCAATAACAGGGTTTATCTTCCACAACTTAAAAGCTTGCTGGCATTTCATTGTTTTATTGTGTGTTCAAGTGATTTAATAATGGCTAAAATTATACAGGGATTTTATGTCATGTAATTTTACATTTTAAAATTGCCTGTCATCATTGTGCAGTAATTGACCATTTTACATCTCACATGTTACTTCTGCCACAATCACATTTAACAAGGATTAGGGACAAAATGGTTTACATACACTGTATACTACAACACTTGCCTTTTGTTTTGACAAATTAAATTCTGCGGCAGCTTTGAATCAGTCTGCATTCATCAAATGTTTATTGATCAATGAACAAACAATTCTCGCTGTAATAAAGCATAAGCTTGCTTGGTTAATCCAAACTAATGAAACATTATCTAGGTGAGTATATCGCCATGATTCAGTCTGTTCAGGCATGCACTTGTGTGAACTAGTGAAATATGAGTTAATTGCTCAGTGGGACTGCTGCTGGTACTTGTAGGGACTTCAGTCCAAACTTGGTGCTTTTGAAGACATCTAAGACAGTAGGTTTTTTGTAAGGTGATTGTTTCTTGCTTCTAGTTGCTGCTGCCCTTTCTTCCTCTGAAAGATTAGTAGATGTTGCGTTGGGTTTAGACATTGAAAACGATACACAACTAGTAGTATATTTACAATTTGTCTTATATGAGAGTACATCTATGTTTAGTATGTTAAGTACACATAGTACACACACAAGTGGAGAAGAATAGTTCTGCATCTGGGTAATTGGATATAATCCCCCAGAGGAAATTTTTATGTCAGTTTTCTCAGTACACTTGAGTCTTCACCGCCTCCGACACCGCATGTATGGCACACTCTGCCCGACAGTCATGGTGCCATTGCTTGATGAACTTTATACCATGACTGCTACTTTTTAAAAATCATCTCTCTCTCCCTCTACTTGAACATAATCTTTTCCATTTTATTATTGTCTGTTTGTAGATACCACTATCAAAAGAAAATGAAAACTGTGTATTTTTATTCCCATAGCGGCCAAAACTCTTCAGATCTTCAACATTGAGATGAAGAGTAAGATGAAGGCGCACACGATGACAGATGATGTGACCTTCTGGAAGTGGATTTCCCTGAACACAGTTGCCCTGGTGACGGACACGGCCGTGTACCACTGGAGCATGGAGGGTGACTCTCAGCCCGTCAAAGTCTTCGACCGTCACTCCAGTCTCGCGGGCTGTCAGATCATCAACTACCGCACAGACGCCAAGCAGAAATGGCTTCTGTTAATTGGTATCTCAGCACAGGTAAAGCACTGAAATTTTACCCTGTACCTGATTTTGTTGTTAGCTTTCCTGTGATGGCAAAACTCCACTCTGGTTGTGAAAAGAGCTCATGAACACATAAATGCAATTAGTAAGTGAGCAAGAACTGGACCACTGCAACGAACAATGTTTAAAATGAACTTTTTCACAAACTGCGGATTTGTTTGCTGTTTTTCTATAGATGGTTATTATTTTTTTTCTTTGTTCACTCCTCAGCAAAATCGTGTGGTTGGAGCCATGCAGCTTTACTCTGTAGACAGAAAAGTCTCTCAGCCAATTGAAGGCCACGCTGCCAGTTTTGCCCAGTTCAAGATGGAGGGCAATGCAGAGGAGTCCACACTGTTCTGCTTTGCTGTCCGAGGCCAGGCTGGAGGAAAGGTAATCACAGCAAAACCTTGGCCTGTCACAATAATTACTATATCGACTTATCATTCAATAAATGAAAGGTAGAACAATATATTTTGGGACTAAATATTATCCTGTGTACAGTTTCTTTGTAAAAATGGGACATTTTAATTGTTTTTCTTGTAATGCAA